ATCATACTTTTAGATCTAGAAGAATGGTCCTATCTCAGCAGACAATCATAAAACGGTTGCAAAACTGTTGAGTCTGCTGAACGCAGCCATTGTCGACTACCATCGCGAGTTCTGATTGGCCACTGCTTTCCGCTTTCTGCTTTTCCGTCAAGGTGTGAACACGCCCTAAGGCTGCGTCCCTATGGAGAAAAACACAGCGGAATCGAATCAGAACAGAATATTGATAGAAAAGAGATATCCTCATCCTATCTCTTTTCTGTTAATATCTCGTTCTGATTCCGTTCCGCTGTTTCTTTCTCATGGGGACGCAGCCTAAGGTAAATTCAGCAATTTGATGCGCTCTGCGACCTGGCGATTCGAGCGTACATCTCCACGATAGGAATCCGCCTTAAAGTTTCCCCGCCATGTGCGTTTGGAGTGGATGAGAGACGCTGAGTCCCAAAAGAACTGAGCCTCCCTTCTCTTGTTTTCCGGCCTTTTAACCGAGCGGGTTAACCCTCGACGATAGCTCGTTCTGTACAGTGCTGTGTTTTGTGGATATCACGTGTTTAATTAAGTAGTTAGTTTCGATTCAACAGTTCTGATGAACCACTCGCTCGTGGCGGACGCATCTCGACTCGGGTGCGCTATAGCTATTGTATATTTTTGAAAGTGGTGCTGACTTTGACCGAGCATTGAAATACACATAATCGTCCCGCGGTCTTGGACGATCCGTTCGGTCATCCTGACGCGCGTCCTTGCGGTATGACGACGCCGTAGACGCTGGCGCCCGGTGTTCGAGCAGGCTTAGCCATTTTCGCGGATGTTGCATCATTTTTAATATACGGAAAACAATCATAAACGTGATCTGGCCGTATCCACCTCCTATTTGTTTGGAGGCGGGAGCCATAATTAACTAAGAAGAAGAAGAAGTTTCGACTCAATCTTGTTAGAGTAGCGCGATATTCAGGATTTCAGGAGTGAGTCAAAGGTTTGTCAAACACAGTAGAGCATTTATTTAGTGTAAATCGTACAAAACAATCACTTTGTGAATACGCTGCAAAAGGCGCGTGTGTAAGCGAGAGACGCCATGTAAGAGAAGCGAAAAGGAACATGAGTAACATAAGTTGTAGAACATAGAATAATACAGAAAGAATGTTACGGCGCTGATGGCGCCATGAACAGTACTATAAACTATTGAGAGATCAGGGCGCTAATTGATATGCTCTAACAAATCTTCCAAAATCCGATTGGTATATAACCATCCTAATTCTGCGATACATGCGCACACTAGAATCTCGCAAAGCTGTAGTTTCTAATATTTATATAACTTGAATATTTTTCATAGTTTAGAATAATTCTATTGTCACGTGTTTGATTGATTCTCTGAGTATTTGCGGTCTCCATAATTCATGGTCCATAATTTATGGTTTAGAATAATTCCATTGCCACATGCTTGATTAATACTTTTCTTTTAAACTTTGCATAAATTTAATAGATTCACCCTGTTCGTGTGAGGAAGCGACTCAAGTAATTAGAACGCACTAATTCAAAAATCTTTATAATATAATTAATTCTATACACGCATATGTACTAAGCGTATATAAATTAATAGATTACTTGATTTCGAAACGTTCTTAAATCTATATACATATGTGCATGTAAAAGGACTTGATTTCGGTGATTTAAACAATTAAACATTTGTGTTAGTTAATTATGGCTCCCGCCTCCAAACAAATAGGAGGTCGAGAAATTGTGTTTCTGCGCCACGTCGTATCTTTGTTACTCCTACGCTCACTTTCCTGAGGATCCGTTAGTGCAAATGTTACGATGAATCAGGAAATATTTCGCAAGATGGCCGAGGCTCGTCGAGGGTTGCTATTCGTCACGTGGTCCATCAAAGATGCTGAGTCACGCCATTCGCTACGTGGATTATCAAGGAATGGTGAGTCACGCTATTCATCACGTGGACCGTCAAGGTGAGTGGTGTTTATCTTGAAATTTCGACAGAACGCAGTTTTCTCTGCGCGCTCGATTATGTGCGTCTTCCTAGATGCCGTCATCTTTGAGTCGCACACCACGGAAAAAATTTGAGATTATGATAGTATCAATGGGTGCATTCAGTACTATAACCGCTCACTGAGCGCTTAGTGAGCGCTTGTATCTTATTGGCATATTCCGATAGAACTAAAAATATAGACCAAACAGATACAAGAGCTCACTGAGCGCTCAGCACCCAAGATAGGCAAATACAAGCGTCCGACCAGCCTACTGCTCAAGCGCTATCCTCCCCATGCGCGCCGTTCTGAGTGGCTCGCTTGCCAGGCCATCCCCGCACCTCGCGGCCGGCGCGTCATGCGATCGGTGGGGATGGTAGGCCGTCCTGCCGGCAGCAGTACATGAGCAGTAGGCTGGTCGGACGCTTGTATTCGCCTATCTTTAAACGTTAATATCTCGTTAAATATTGCGTCAACTGCAAAATGGTACAAAACTGTTTTGTTCCCCTTGATCCAATCTACGTCCCCATTGTGTTTCGATCCGTTTTTTTGAGACACCCTGTATACATATATAATACACATTATATATATACATATATAATACGTTGTATGTAATATATGTATATATATAAATACATATATAAACTTATATTACATACAATATAATCGAAGTAATAATTAAAATAATCCAATTTTAGAAAAAAGTTACTTAAGTGCTAAAGTAAAACTATCTATTTACGTTTAACATGTTCTGAGAAGCTGGTAAAACTGGACACACTTGAGTTCATTCCTGATATATCCTCCTCATCATCTCTTACATTCTCCAGTGATTTCAACGTTTGTTGAAATTGGAGTTACTGGAACTACGCACGTTTAAAATATACGCTGCGACCGCACTCACGAGCGTGGTGCCACTTCGTCGCGCGTTCGCGAGTATTGAATATATATTTTTAAAATTAATGTAAATAACGAATTATCACAGAACAAAAACGTAACATTTGCACAAACACGTCATTAGACGAGATCAATTTTTGTTCTAATTCGAAAAGTAGGGACAAGATTTGTATTTCAAATTGATATCTCTCGCGTATTGGGAGGGCTCGTAGACGATCTCCAATTTGAAGCAGGAATCCATCCACTGCATCCTTTCTTATAGATTCACTGTCAAGGGCTGAGCAAATTGCTGCTCTTATATCACTGCTGTTATCATCACTTTTCGATTCTAAAGGCAGTGAATGATTGAAAAACCTTTCATAACTTTCTTTATTATATTAGAGAGCACCAATAAATAATTAAAAAATTTACTTCTTGATGCTCGTCGTTGGTAACTTGGCGAGGATGTAGGTTCACTAATTAGGGACTGCTGACTGTCAGTAGAAGTTGATGGTTGAGATACCGTCGTCAGTGTAGGATTTGCAGTTACCAACTCAATGTCTTCAGCAATATCGTTTGTGCTTGTGTTCTCCGGCAAACTACTGACAGTTCTACATAAACACAAATTAATTTAATTATTTTAGAATTTCTTTTATAGACTACTATATATAACTATCTACGAAATACGATGGAAAACTATGATGGATAGATTCGAAACAAAAACAAATTTTTACAGAAAAAATAAGCCCGGACCTTACAAAAATAAGTCCGGATCTTCATACGGGCAACAGCGCATTGACATCGAGAGCTGATTTGTGAAAAGCCAATTGGGGGTAAATTTTACTCCCACAACCGACTTTTCACCAATCAGCGTTTGGTGTCAGAGCGCTGTTATTCGTATGAGGATCCAGGCTTAGTTTTTCATTTTTAGTCAACATTTACCAAATTTTTAGATTACCATACTATTCATTTTAATGCATTGATTGAAAATTTCACTTAATATCTATTATAAATAACTTACACTGATTTATCCAGAACATCATCAAGGAACTTCATTTGTTCATATAAACGAAATGTTGATTTTGCATTTTTTGTGCTACGCGCAGCCGATCCTCTTGGCAAATATTCTTTCATCTTCCTCTTTGACTTTATGTAACAATCACGAAGTTGCTTCCATCTTTTTTGCACATTCTCTACATCTTTTTCTGCATTAAAGAAATACAAATACTGTAATATTTAATTGAAAATAATTTAAGCTGACATAATCATGACTACATCTCACTTTATTGACAATTCTTATTGAAACTAATTATATATTAATACCACTGAATGATATATTCATATCTTCATAATAATTACACTTTATTTAAAAGAAAAGTTTGTTTATAATAGAAACTTTTGAACGTACCTCCTACA